ACAAAGGCTGGAGGAGGTGCTGGGTGTCCCATTATGTCACTCTCCTGGTCCCTTACAGAAACTGGAGGTAGGCTGGCAGCCAGCAAGCCCCAGAGCCCCACAGCACTGGGATTAGAGGTGTCTGTGATCACAGCTGGTTTCTGTCATAGGCGCTGGAATCTGAGCCGAATCCTTCCTCGGCTGCTGCAGCAACGCTCTTCCCACGGAGCCATCTCTCCTATTTCTTTTTTTTTAAAAAAAAGTCAGTTCTAACATTTTAATTTCTCAAAAGGAGAATAGGTTGATAAATATGTACTTAAAAAACAATCAGTGTTAAAACAAAGAACTTTTATTTGAAAACCCCTAAACCTAACAAAAACGTTGTGTCCCTTCCCACTCGTTGAGCGCGGCTGTTTTTGGTACAGGCACATGAAGGCAATTTGCCTGATTGCGGTGATACTTAAGTTAGCTGGAAAGAAAAGCTCATCGTTGACTGGTAGTTTTATTTTGTTGATTGACACCATCAATCCCAAATCCTAACACTTTCCATCTTCTCTGTCCTTTCTTTGGGCACCTTAAACCTGAAAACACAAGTTGTTCCCAAACGCAAGCCTCTGGTCTTTGTAGCTAACGTTCCCTTTGCTAATGGATGCTTTCAAATCTCCCGGTTCTTCACAGGGAGCTTTCCCAGGTCTCAGTTCCCTTCTCCTCCAGGCTCTCCTTTGCTGTGTCCTCATTATCCAAGGCCGGCTTTTCCTCTCCCCTCCACAGTCTGGGTGGTACCGGTCTGACCCTAGTAATATAGCTCTCCAGAATATTTATATCTGCTCTCAGCACACACCGTCGACCCCTCTGTGCGGTCTCAGTGGTCGCGTTTGGGAGGACCAGCATTTTCTCTTCCACGGGCAGGGTGGGAGGTCGCCTCTGCACTTTGTAACTCACTTGCTTAAGTAACTTTCGAGTCTGTCTTCTTGCTAGAGTTTTCTTAGATTCTGGCAGAGTTTCTGTCGTCCTCGACTGGGGGTCGTGCAGGGCATTGCGGGGTGCTTATTGATCTCACTTTCTGCTTAGCAGGAAGTTTCTCTGCCCATTCTGCTGATGAGAGGCAGGCAGAACTTGGTGTCCTGCATTTCATCCCCTTCTGCTGCTGGTCAGGAATTCCTTGCACCGTTCAGAGACTCTTAGACCATTCTCAAAATAGAATTTTATGGAAAGAGCTAACTCCAATCCTTTATTTATTTGTTTAATATATTTATTACATATGCATGCTCTGCATACCGGAAGAGATCACCTGATCTTACATGGATGGTTGTGAGCCACCATGTGGTTGCTTGGAATTGAACTCAGGACCTTTGGAAGAGCATCCGGGGCTCTTAACCTCTGAGCCATCTCTCCAGCCCCCAATCCCTTATTTATTGGTGACAGAACAAAGGCTCAGGGGCTCCAAGGCCATGCAGTTGGTCATTCTATAGAACCAGAACCAGAACCAGAACTCAGGACATTTGGCCCCCAAGCTTGTCCTTAACCTTTTCCTGTCTGTCTCGTGTTTCTACTGACTAAAAATTTCAGAACATTTTTGGGAAGATTTATTTTATGAGTGTGTGTGTGTGTGTGTGTGCCTGAGAAGGTCAGAAAGACCTCAGTTTCCCTGGAACTGGAGATTCAGGTGGTTGTTATCCGCCTGACCCATGAGAAGAACCCTAACCTCTGCTTCTCTGTCAGAGCTACAAGCTTTAACTGTGGAGTCATCTTTTTCCAGCCTTCCAAACTGACTTCATTGTGTCTTTTTCTCTCAAGTCCCTCAAGAATGGTGTACATTTAAGCTTTGCTTTGGAAACCATTTAAGCATTATATTAAACATTGCTTTGTATCTGTTAGGAGGAAAAGCTGTCTTGATCTGGCTGGGACTGAGGGGTTTCCCGGGATACAGGACTGAATGTATTGAAAGGAGAGTCTCCGGCAAAGTCAGGTACCGGGTATCCTAGAGTTCTAATTACTGTAACAGGCAGTATTGTGAACATTCATTCCCATGTCCATTTTACAGATTAAGGAAACTGAGGCTCACAGGGTGAAATGATTTGTGCAAGAAAACACAAGCTTGTAAGCGGCAGAAACCAGAGTAAAGTGTAGATGCGCTAAACACAGCTCATCATCTTTGTGCTACAACGTGGAAGTGTGGCTGCTCACAGCTGCTCGGGTCTGAGCAAGGAAAGATAACCCGGTGAAATACTAGTTGAAAATTGATTTATTATGGGCTAGCTTCTTTGAGGTCTTGCCAGTTTGCATGATTGACACATAAAGAGAGGAAAAGCAGCTGTTGAAAACACACGAATTATTTAGCAGTGATAATGAATCAGGTAAGATTTAAATCACGCAATCCCAGGTTGTCTAGTCTCCCCTTCTTAGAGTGGAGGGTTGGGGTTGGGGAAGAAAAGAGACAGCATGACATTTGTTTATGTATCTGGGGAGAAATGAATGCTGTTAGTGTTATCCAGTAAGTTTGAATCAACGGAAATGCACTATTGTATTAAAGAAGCAATAGAGGACCGAAGAGATGGGTCAGCGGCTATGAGCACTGCGCTGCTCTCCGTAGGACCAGAGTTCAGTCCCCACACGGTCTGTGACCCTAGCTCCTGGGTGTTGTCTTTTGACTTCTGAGGATGCCGCACATCCATGGTGCATAGAAATGCATGCCGGTAGAACACACGTACATACACAAAAAAATAAAATCAAAACTGTCAGCAGGGGCTGGAGAGATGGCTCAGCGGTTAAGAGCATTGTTTGCTCTTCTAAAGGTCCTGAGTTCAATTCCCAGCAACCACATGGTGGCTCACAACCATCTGTAATGAGGTCTGGTGCCCTCTTCTGGCCTTCAGGCATACACGCAGAAAGAATACTGTATACACAATGAATAAATAAATAAATATTTAAAAAAAAAAACTGTCAGCAGTTAGACTGTAGCCAGAGTAGTTGTTCGGTGCCTTAGATCTTGTTAAAAGGTTTGACTTTATACCTCAAACCCTCCAGAAGAGCTTGCTGAGATCAATTTATTGATCCATTCTTTTATTTCCTTAGGAGGAAGGCAGTGATTATAATTAAACAGTTTAAAGCTAGTGCTTGAATTTTATTTTCATAAAGAGACATTGATAGAGATAAGGAAAAAAACCCCATAAAACCCATTCAGTTCCTCCCATCAACAAAACCTCCCACCGCCATTCACTTCCCATCTTTTCAGGGATAATTAAGCAAACATAAATTGATATTCTTCCTCATTCCACTGAAGGAGTGAGTTAAATACTTTATTCTGTGGATGGATTTTTTGTTTGATTTTTCGAGACAGGGTTTCTCTGAAGCTTTGGAGCCTGTCCTGGAACTAGCTCTTGTAGACCAGGCTGGCCTTGAACTCACAGAGATCCGCCTGCCTCTGCCTCCCGAGTGCTGGGATTAAAGGCATTGTGTATGAATTTTTTTTAAAAAATGCAATAGCATGTCTGGGGCTGTTTTAAAGTTGAGTGTAAGGAGTTACTAAGTCCTTTTTTACAGTCCTGTAATATTCTATGGTATTCAACCTAGAATATACCATGTTTATTCAACTAGTCATGTTTATAGTAATTATGTTACTAAAACAATGCTTCATTTAATGTATTGAATAAATAATACCTTTGAAAGGTTTAAAAATAGTTTGTAAGGCCAGAAAGATGCCTCAGTGGTGGACAGTGCTGGCCGCTCAACCATGAAAACCTCAGTTCAGATCCTGGCACCCACAGGGATGTCTCAGGATGACGTGGAATTTCAGCTCCTAGCCATCTTATGTCCTCTTCCGGCCTCCATAGTCAATTACACACACATGCACACACATAAATCAAATAAGTCTTTAAAAGTATATGCCTGAGTATACACATATTCACATATATAGGCCTCTTGCATTCATTGCTGTCAATAATTTACCCACCATTCATATGCTCAGATAAAAATGCTGCAACTAGCATCAAATATAGCCTTATGAATATGGAAATAAATAAAAACAAATATCTATACTTAAATTTCCTCCTTTTATACATTGACCTATGAACCTATGAATCATACTATCCTCTGTTTGTCTCTCTCCACCCAACAAAATATCTTGTGTGTGTATATATATATACATTATAAAATACATATATATAAAATATCTTGGATATATATTAGACTCTAATTATATATATATTTCCTCTCTATCTATCTAGTCTAGTATAGATGTATATTAGGGTCCTCATTGTTTCTTTTGTGTAATAATTGCATAAAATTCCATAGTGTGGATATATTGTATTTCATATAACCGATCCCTATTGATCAGTGTTCAAATGTCACTTTGTCTGTCCACACGTCCGTCCTCAGCACACTGTGACTACTCTCTGGCAGAGAGACTGGAGATTTCATGGTAGGTCACCCCACCACTTCCTTGTTTTCCCTAGAGTCTTTCAGGATAAAGATCCTCTTGGTTTTGTTACTCAGCACATGGCAGAACCCTTTACCTTCTGCGCCATAAACAGTCTCTCTGAATATTATTGAAACGCTGTTGTTACACAAAGAGGAACTACGGAAGGTGTGGCTGCAATTATTACACTGCTTTTCCCCACTGACAGAACTGTTGTAGACGATACAAGGTAGGAGTGTGTGGAGAATGCCTGGTGATACCTGGGGATCTGCTTTTAGTTTTTCTCTCTCCTTTTGGGCATGTAGAGAATGTTCATCTATTTTTAAAATGTTCCCTGACCTGGTCTAAAATGATCGTTCTCAATGATCCCTAATGGATAACTTCAAAAGCTAGAGCTTTGCATCACTAGATAACACGGAATACAAACCTTCTTTTAGATTGGTTTTGATGGAAACAATTTGCATATCCTATGAAATACCATAAAATCCGTCCTGTGCAAGAGACATTATTAGAAGCTTTTTATTGAAAAAGCTAAACATAAATTATGGTGAAGAGGCTTTGGCTGTAAGATAGTTTAAATGGAAACAATCCAGTAGGAGGGAGATTAATCTACTTTCCTAAAATAGAGGCATATTTTTCAGTAAAACCAGAGCAGGATCTTGTTGTTGTGAAGGATGTCTTCAGCTTCAATGTACACTTGGGATGTTGAGAATAGCCAGCGTCAAGCGGCTTGTCAGGACAGAGTGAAAGAGGCAACACGGAAACAGAGCAATAATTTTCTCGTTTTCCACACGAGGTTGTAGTTCTGGGGGTGTAAATGTTTTTACTGACGAGGTAAGTCAAGATTTTCCCCTGCGATGCTCAAAGAATAAGGATTTAGACTTCAGAGATGGTGTCGCGTTCTGGCCTCTGAAAGGCAAGGTGGGGTTGGTGAGGGGTGGGTTTGGCGACACCCAGCACAGAGTTCCGGATCCCAGGTTTTGTGATTCTGGGGAGTCTCCTGGGCCTTAATTGTCTCCTTCATTGTGTGGGATGGCTATGGTAAATTTGACACTCGAAAGTTTCAAGTCCCCCTCCTCCTTCCTCCATATTCCCTTTTCCTTATTTTATTTTATTTTGAGGGCAGGATTTCAGTATGAAGCTCATGTTGGTTTGAAACTTGGTACAATCCTTCCACCTCAGCTTCCTGAGTGCCACACTTGCAGGCATGCACTATTAAGCCTCCCTTCAAGCTCTTGAAGGTAAGCAGCCAGCTGTATGCTAGACTACTTCTCTAAAGCTTCTGTATCTAAACTCTGATTGGCCCCCTCGCTAAGGACTGTTTTAGAAGTCACACTGGGGTGTCAAATAAGATCTTGGGAAACAAAGAAAGCCTGAGTCCTGGGAAGTTCTCTCTCTCTCTCTCTCTCTCTCTCTCTCTCTCTCTCTCTCTCTCGTCCTGGGACTGGTTTTTATCAGGGTTAGAGGTGGAGAAAGATCAGGAGCCTCTTGAAAGTCTCCTTCCCCCCACCTCATTTCTGTCTGGCTGCAGTCTCCTGAGTGTGTTCCCCTTCAAAGTCAAACAATTGTTGTGAGCATATTTTTTTTTCTGCTGTGCGAAGATCATACCGTGATTTCAAGATTCAATATTATTTGTGTATGCTCCTTTTTTTCATCTAATCATATTCTTCTGGGCACCCAGAAAAAAATGGTTAGAAATGATGGTTGGTTTATAGCAATGCAAAAGGGCACTTGCTACGGCTGATTCCTGGGTGAAGTGTTTATACTGCAACCTGTCAGGCATTTAAAAAAAATTCCTTAATACATGCAATAGAGCATATAGAAAACAGGGTAAAGAAATAAAAGGTGCATTCTGACTAGTTTGTTGATTTATTTTAAAGAATTCTTAAGTTATCAAAAAATTCGTCGATACATACAGAAGGACCTAAACAGTATTCTGACTGTGCCCTTCAGGAAAGGTTAAAGAAAGCCAAAGTTGTAGCTTAGAAATGATAATATGCAGGTTCAGTGGGAAGTTTTAGGTCATGGCTCATTAAAAAAAAAACCCATATGATGTCTAGATAAAATTCCAAAATAATAAATATATAAATACAGTTCTGTGGTTTTTTTTAACATATATAATCTTGAATCTTGGGGGCAGGACACTTTTATTCAGTTTTCATGTTGGCAGATATTAGGTGCTTAATATGCTTAATGAATAAATGAATGAATTAGTGAATTAGAACAACTTCAGTCTCTTAAAAGTTTTTGACAAATTGCAGCATTTACAGTACTTCTAATGTGATAAGAGTGAGGCTCAGATCTACATTCTGAATGTCAAATGTCTCACGGTTGAGTGATACATCTAAAAATATGAGCCAGGAATCCCTCAGTATTTTAGGAAGAAACCATAAATGTCATTCATAAATTTGCTGCCTATGTAAAAGTGCTGGCTTTTGATTAAATATGTAAGAAGAGGTCCATCTCCTGGCCACATTACAATTAGTTACTGGTTTGTGACAAGGGCCGATGAGTTAATGTGTCATCAGTGATCGCAAACGAACCTCAGCTAGCATCCCCAGTCAGTGTGATGACGTCAGAGGTTTATAACTGACCTTCTCTCTTAGCTTAATTTTGCTGTTTTCTCCCTTAGAGCACAGCTAAAAAGCTATCTTGTCAAGTTGTGTGATTGGCTTGTTTATTGTGTGGCGATCTTATAGAGTAATATTTTATGCGGAGCGGTTCCCGCAAGTGATTTGAAATTAAACCTCTTCCTTGCACCTGTAAGGATGTGGAAATGACGGCCCGGCAGCTCGATGATGGCTCTACAAAGCCGCATTTCCTCCATCATCTTCAAGGTCGTCGAGATTTATGATCTAATCACCCAGGGCTCCTTCACAGGAAGCATTGGAATCTGATTAAAAGGAAAAACAAATAGCCATATAGATTTATTAATAAAATGCGCATGACCTTTTCACATGTCTACCTCTTTCAACATATTGCCAGTTTAAATCAGAAAGGAGTTTTTTTGGGGGGGGGTGTTGAATTTTTAGAGTTGCGACAGAGTTCCCACCTACTTGTGCACACATGCATCGGGGAGGGCTATCTCTTCCCTCCCTCGTTCTCTTTGGGGTTTAATTACTTCACCTACATCCTAATTCAGGTAACTCATAAAACTTAGTCTTTGTTGTAGGTCCAACAGCTGTCTTATGTCAGTAGCAAGGAAAATGTTCACAGCACACCGGAATGCTGCAAGACGGTTTATGGTGTTGCAATAAAAGGTAAATTGAATTTACAAAGATGCATTTGTCACTGATTAAAAACTTACAAAGTTAATTGGAAACACTGTGGAGGTGTTACCACACAACTCGAGGTGTAATGGGGGCTCTAATTCAGCCTGGAGGTGAGTTGCGGGTCCTATTAGGGCCTCACATAAGATACCCAGTGACACAGTCCAATTTAAGTAGCAAAGCAACACAATAAAGATCTCAAAAATTTTTTTTTTAAAATATGAGGTGAATGTAAATTTATTCACAATTAATTCTTGTAAATGGCTACAGGAAAAGGCCCTCCGTGCCACAGAAATACCAAACACGCTAATCACACGGTTTTCCCCACAGAAAACATATTGAAGGGGTTTTGTTTCCCCAATCTGCAACATTTCTTGATTTCTTGATGTTTACATTGGCAGGACCTTGAGTAAAACCTATGAGTGGAGAAGGGAAAAGCCAGGCTCAAAGCGCCGGCCGTCTGAAGTCAGCAGGACCTTCCCGAGGGACCTGGCGAATTATCTCCACATAATTCACTTAACCTTTGGCATTTGGGGACTGGGGAAACTGAACGTATTTCCAAACCCGAGGCTTTTAATTGCTGGTTTTAGTGTCACAAGCACAGGTCAGTAGGCGAGATGATGATTGAAAAACAGTTGTAGAAAGCTTTTCACCTCTGGTGTGCATCCTGGACGGAATTAAGCCGGTGGCCCGGGACGGTCTTCAGATTTCTGCAGACACACGCCCTTAAGGCCAGAATGATGGGCCCCATATGAACGTTCTGAGCATGTGCCTTGAGGTGGCTGGAGAATTTTTAAATTTTAGGCTAGGTGTGTGCTGAAACGGAGAGACAAGACAATTAAACTGGGTCGTATCAATAACCATTGCTGTATTATTCCAGGGTCGTGGACTTTTGTGTCGGTTGTCTTAGAGACTGGATGCTTAAATTCAAAGCGCGTGTATTGGTTGTTATACATGCTTTGTTTCTGTATGTCTTATACTTTAAATATCCAACACCCTAATACATTGGCCCAGCTCCAGTGCCCCTCCTGTCTCCCCAGTTCTGGGATCACAGCCTGGCACCAACATGACTGGCTTTTTTCACAAGTACTGGGGATTCAAACTCAGGTCCTTGTGCTTGTGTAGAAAGCAACACACACACACACACACACACACACACACACACACACACACACACGTTACTACCCCCTCCCTGAGATGGGATCTTACTATCTCATGTACACCGATTTCATACTTCTTCAGCCTCCTGTGCAGCTCATAATGTTGAGACTGGCTTATTTTTCATTTGAATTCAGGTCATTAGGTTTGCACCACAAGCCCTTTTAACCGGCTGAGGCGTCTTGTTGGCCCAAGCAGACACATACCTTTTTAGAAGGCATCATTTGTTGAATGCTTGCTACCCGCTGATCACGTTTTGTGTTTGATTCACATAAAAATATTAGAACGTGTTATGGTTAACCCCACTGTATGGATGAGGAGGAAATAGTTAAAGAAGTTGCCTACGTAGGTGCCGGAGTCAGGATATCCAGTTGTAGAACAGCCTTTCTGCTCTCTGGCCCACTCCTGCTGCGCTTGCCTGTCAAAAGCCTGTTTTAAATGTGCAAACTTTTTACTTGAACTTTGCGAACAGTTATCCGGGTCTGGGGGACTAACTGATACCAGTAAGTAGTTGAGTAGCAGGAACACAAACCAAGTTCAAGTCAGGCTAAGTTCCTGTAAGAGTTGATATGGCACAGCCCAAGGCTCGCAGGATTTGGTATCGGAGCCCTCCATCTTTCTCTGACAGATTGCCTTTGGCCTACGTAAGTCAATTTCTTGAAATCTAACTTTATTCATAAAATGGAAACAATGTATCTTAGACTTAGGAATTACTGGGGGAGGGGAGTTAAATGATACAACTGGGGAGAGAGATTCCCTGGACGGTGAAGTGCTATTGGACGGTGAAGCGCTATTAAAGGCTTCATTTCTTACTTCCTGTAACACCATTTTCAGAATTTTTGCCAGAATCTCTGCTTTTTTTTTTTTTTTTTTTTTTTTTTTTGTTTTTTTTTTTGACAGGGTTTCTCTGTGGCTTTGGAGCCTGTCCTGGCACTAGGCTGGTCTCGAACTCACAGAGATCCGCCTGCCTCTGCCTCCCGAGTGCTGGGATTAAAGGCGTGCGCCACCACCGCCCGGCCAGAATCTCTTCTTAAATAATGCTGCCTACGAGGAACCTGGGCAGAGCAGGGAAGATGCAGCGTCAGATTCCAGGCCTTGGAGGACTCAGTCCCCCACAGTCAGCAGCTTCGTTCAGAATTGTCTTGCCACAATCAGGAAACTGTGTCATGGCAAAATGCCTGTGCCTGGCCAAAGGAATCTCTCACTGCACAACCAGAGGGCAGCTAGGAGATTGGGGGGAGATTTTAAGTTAAACAAAGTAGATGTCATGATTTTACTACCGAAAAACTTGGAGCACCATTTCCTACGGAAGGGCAGTCCAAGATGTCAGTTTCTGGTTATTCTGCACCTTGAGGTGTTTGAAGTATCCTTGCCAAAACCAGCCCACACCCCACCAGCAGGGAGCTCCATCCTTCCTTTAATTCTTTCCACTTACTCAACGGCCTTTCCTTTCATCTTGTGTCTGTGACTTATTGAATCTTGTAAGGGCTTTGTGTTTAAGGCTGTCCCTGTATTCCTGCTGTTCACGAAGCAATTACAGCGGCAACCAAAATCCATTATTACATTTACAAGATACCAACTGTCCACTGCTGCCAGTTCTTGGCACCCATTCTTAATGAGACATGAGGAGAATCTGAATGTTTCCCTGCTTCAGATAGTTTAAAGAAAATAAATTTGAATCCTCGTTCTTTTTTTTCTTGCCATCAAGATTCTAAGAGAGTGGAGATGTTATAAAATGGACAAAAGTTAGGATGAAATTTATAAATATAACAGTCAGTTCTCAGAATCTTTGTACTGGAGACCAACCACCTTATAAAGTATAGATTACTGCTCTCCTATTCTCTTTTATGAGTAACCAAATTACAGTTATTAAATTTGGGGGCTCATCTGAGCCCACAGGAAGCTGGTCAGGGTGGCACCTGGGATCTAAGTGACAAATCCATTTATAGAAATGTTCCCAGGGAATTCTCTGCCACAAAAGATAATGAGTCTCAAACGAAAATGACCAGAAGATATTCTCAGTCTAAACCTAAGGAGGGAACACGACTTTCCATGAACAAAACCAAATCATTCACATAAATGTGTAAAATAATTTTTAATCCTATGAAGACTTGTGTCTCAACAAATCGTTACCTTTGAAAGTGTGGTGAAGTAAGGGAAAAGAGAGAAGAAATGATCATTTGAGAGAAAAGTCTGAGCACCAAAAAATAGTAAAATAAAGCAAAATTAATCTGCCTTGGCCTCGAAGTGTGCTACTTCCTCTATCCTATTCTAGACCAGGTGCTCAATTTAAGACAGAGATCCGAGAGATTTCAAGGCTTGAGTTACTTCATAATGATATTTAAAGTCGTCACATTGACTTTCTTGATTATGCATTGAATCAAATTATAAACAAATAAACATGACTTTGTTTCTTTCTAGAAAGCATTGGCAATGGGGCACATTATCTAAATTATGCTATCTCTCGGCAGAAGAGCTGCGCAGGTAAGATGACAACGAAAATGTTCTATTTCTGAGGTAAGGATCTTACTTACCATCGGATGCTCTAGGATTATCCTCCCCTTCACAGAGCTGAATGTAGATGGAGTTTTGAATGGAGACAACTTCAATCGCTGTTGACCTCAGAAATGAGGACAGAGAAGCCAGTAAGCATGAACAGTTACATACTTGGGCAGTTTCTATAACATCTCTCATTTATTTGGGCCTTAGTTTGCTCATTTTAAATGCTAGCATGCACAAGACAGAGACTTGTGGAGGGGAAGCTACACTAGTTAGTGAATGACCTGTGGGCAGCTTGAAGTTGGTTATGGGAAGGGAATTTACGCCATGGAAATTGCCAAAAGCGGCAGACCAGGTCCTCTTCGTGTCTTTGGAGCTGTTCATTGCGACACTCAACAGCATACCCCTGGAGCTCACAGACATGTGAATAGAGTTCCGTAGTCCACTGAGTTTTGGAAACATATTTAAACAACCTAACACCCTTTCTTCTCTTTCTCTTATTCTCTCTTTATTTTGTCCTTTCTCCTTTCTTTTTTTTTATTGCCCCATAAGAAATACCAAGGCTGAGGTATATGACCTCTGATTACAACACTTAATACATAAGAAATTCTCCAGATGTGCCTACATGTCTCTAATCCTTAAAACTTGATCTTTGCTATTAATAGTCTTCTCTTACTCCCTCCCTTTTCTCTTTCTCTGAGATCTAGCTTTCATTTATTGTAAGCAACATGCACTACTTTCTCTAGTGGATATTATTTTGCACAAGACAAAAGAGCAGAGCTATACACAGTAGACCTGAAAGTCCCCTCTTTACTGTTTTTTTTTCCCCAAGGCAGATCTACCCATGTTTTAGGGTGGTAACGTGTGCTTGAACCCCCTACAATGTTCTAGACTGTGTTGGAACACAGAAATGGTTCCTGTGGGCACATGTAAGTTCATGGCTATTCTTTAGAGGCTGGTTTTCCTAGTTAGTGGGCTAATAGACTTTTAAGAAAATGTGGAGTTATGAAGTTATACTATGCTTCTAGAGATGGCCATTATTTCATACACAGATGAATTGCATCATATATAGAGACCCAGTTTGGGAACAAGCTTGTGAAATAAAAGCAAATGATTTTGTTAGGTTACTTTCAGCATTGCAGAAACTCTCACACTGTTTTCAAGTGGTAAGACACTCAGGCCCCTTTTGGTGATTATCTAGAGACAGATACACAGAGAAGATTTTGTGAAATTTCAAGAAATGAAATGCTGTTGGCCAGACGCTGAATCTTCTGGAAATGAAGCTCTTACGTCATGTCTTTTGCAGTAGGAAATCAATGGCAATTCTCACTAAGAATTAGTGATGTTAAAGGATACATTCACAGAGAGCTCAATAACTGATGTACTTTTAAAGTGCCCAGAAGAAAGTTGGGATAAGTGAATTCTACTTGAAGCTCAGTTTTTACTTCAACTGATCCTGTTTATTACTTAAATTATTTTTGTGGTGCATTCGCAGGTTTATTCCCAGTGCTTCGACTAGTGTTAAAGGAGCATTAGAAGACTAGTTTATTTTAAGGACAATTTATTCAGTTCGCCCCCCTTTGATTTACTGTCAGAGAGTCTTTAAAGGTGAACTATAGAGACAGATTACTAAAAACAGTTCAGACATATACAGTTTACTTTTCCAAGATATATGATCGCTTTCAAAAGTGTAATATAGACATAGCAGTGCCCCCTCTTCTGGGTTCGACTGGAGATCTTGTTAGCACTACCTGGGTCTGCATTGTGATAATCGTTGCTAAAATAAGGTGTGATGTAAGGAGACTAACCCAAAGCATAAAGTCAAGGCAGATGATGACATGGATTAAAGGAATTACTGAACTCTTATTCCAGGACACATGGATAAATCTTAAAGATGGCCTTCTTTAAACTCCCCCTGGGTCTTATTGAAGTCTGCAATAAAAAACTCAGTCTGGTCTCAATGTGCTAAAGGCTACCGCTGAAAGGGTGTTAGCCTGAGAGAATCCAGTGGTGAGCTGTAGGTGACACAGGCACGGGACTGTTAACAATTAGCCTCCTTCTTCTCAGATGTCACAGAATTCCTGAGGGATTGGGCCCACAGGAAACTTAACTTTCTTCTTCTTCTTCTTCTTCTTCTTCTTCTTCTTCTTCTTCTTCTTCTTCTTCTTCTTCTTCTTCTTCCTCTTCCTCTTCCTCTTCCTCCTCCTCCTTCTCCTCCTCCTCCTCCCCCCCTCCTCCTCTTCTTAGCAAAGGCTTTTTCAGAAAACATTGGCTGCTAACAAAATTAAAGATAAGGCTGGAATAATTTGTGTTATGTCACGACCCCCTGGTTAGGTTAGTCGTGAAAGCAGCTGGCAAAGACGAAGGCTGGGGAGATCAACTTGAGAACATAAGCCCCGAATAAATCTGAAATCCGACTCACAATGAACAGAGCAAATAAACATGTTACAGCCATTCCCATTAGAAGTCAGGGTAAGCTAGAGTGATTTTAAAATTATGTTCAAATATTCCTAAAGGATAGAAATATCCTCACTTCTTTTGAGGATGGATATTTATGAAATGCCAGTGATGCTGTGCCAGGGACACATCCATCCTCCCTCCCCTCCATTTTGCTTAAAAAAAAAAAGATAGCTCTAGCAGAAGGAAAATGGTTTCTACTATGAAAATAGAATTCTTTTTAGGAAAAGAAACAATAAAAACTGAAATGAGCCGAATTCTTGTAAGCAGGAAAAGTTATTTGTTGATGTTTTCATTGAATTTGTGACCGACAGTCAAATATAATAAGTACACATCTGCTGAGTATATAGTAAGCAAGCAAATGAATAGGTTAGTTTTTAAACCAGAGGAGGATAGAGAAATCAGTGAACAAGCAGAAAAAATTCGAAGGTGGCTAAGTACCTTTATATAACATAAGTTATAAATTCAGTTTGCAAAGCAATTTAATATTGCTATTTTTCTTTATTTTGTATAGAATGCTTCATGAATTTGTGTGTTGTCCTTGCCTAGGAGCTATGCCATTCTTTCCTGTATTGTACCAATTTTAGTACATGTCTGTGGCTCTCATGCCCATCCCTCCTCCACTCGTCCACAGACACCACTTTTCCAGGTTCCACTTTTTATTTGCATCTTATTTCTTTTTGTATCCTCAAGCTGAGTGGCTGCATGCTGTCCTCCCAGATGGTCTGTGATGGTAGGAAGCCTGTATTCATACCCAGCTTCGTTTCCAGCAGCAGAGCTGAGAACAGCAGCCCTGGCTGGGAACCCACTGTTCTTTAATCCTTAGAGCTTGAACTTGGCTCTCAGTTGCCTCCAGGTGAGTTAGCTAGTTTATCTCTAAAGTCATGTTCAGCTCTGTCTATGAATCTTGGTATTTATGGCTTTAAAAAGCTTCTGCATTGCTGGGTGGTGGTGGCAAATGCCTTTAATCCCAGCACTCAGGAGGCAGGCAGATCTCTGTGAGTTCGAGGCCAGTCTGGTCTACAAGAGCTAGTTCTAGGACAGGCTCCAAAGCTACAGCGAAACCCTGTCTCGAAAGTCTTTTGCGTTAACAACAGAATATGAATTGTTCCCTTTAAAGATCAGGCTATTAGATAGTCCAGGTGCATAGAAGAAACAGAAAAGTTCATCTTGTAATCCACTTTACATGTGGGGCTGTCAGATTTCCTGAGACACATAGATGATCGTGTCCTATTTTTGGCTCAAAAAACCTTCAGTAGCTTTCTGCTCTCCCTTGTGAGGCAGCCTGTGTTAGTGGCCGGGGACGCTGACCCCAAGGCCCGAAGGCTTGGTCGGACTTTGATAATTAGGTAGGCAGCTACCTCTGGGTCTCCATGAAACTCACCAAACTGGAGGAATTTTCTAGGTCTTTGTTTCCTTGTCGGTGGCTGGGTCGGGATGATGATTATATAAATTTCAAACACTATTTACTATTTACTGTTCTTGTTATATCTTCTGAGCCCCTCCCCTTCTCAGACTCAGGGACTTTAAGCTTTGGGGTATTTTTTCGGTACACATACAGGAGATTTCTAAAGAAACATAGCAACATTTTTCTAGAGAGTTCTGCTCCCCTTACCGGAAGCTGGGAAATCTCTTTTGATTGAGCCCTAGGAGCAGATGGCTCAACACTTCCCCTGGTATCTGATCTCTTGGTGTGAAGGCAGTTACCTGGGCAGCCTTGAGCTACTGCCCAAGCTGAGTTCCTGTTGAAGTCAGCACAGGCGGTCAGACGGGAGAAGCAGGGCAGCCCAGGAGGAGTGTTGCTTTGTGTTATGGCTTCAAGCACAAGCTCATCCTCTGTCGCACGGTGACTATCAGGGCAGGTGGGAAAGTAATTACTCTTTCCCAGATTGAGCTCTGGCCACTGGCCTTTGTGGCTGTGGTTTCCCGGCAACATCCAACCGAGGATCTAAGCGATGCTTCCTCTGTGTAAGAGGATTCTGCCTTAATATGCTAAGCATTCAAGGAACAGAAGGGGCACATTTGGCACGCTTAGCCTCTGAAGCACTGCTGCTTAGAATAGCTGCTTTTATGCATGTAACAAACATGGTTGTGGATATATCTAGATTTATATTAGAAAAACACTCTAGGACCCCAGAACGGGTGTATGCAAGCCCATTGACATTATCCCCTCTCTTGGAAGGTTCTATGACAAATTTGTGGTTGAGTTATGGTCATCAGAGCCAGATAAGAAAAAGCGTGGACAAATGATAGTCTGTTGTATATTATCAAGATGCTCCTGTGTTATCCAGGGTGATTATCCTGATTCTGAAGGTATATCATGTTGACTACCAGCTTAAGTATTACACACTGCTGTGCCCCCTCTATGACCTCCGCAGCTATGGAGTCTGCCTGCTGGCTTCATGGGCCCTTGTGTGCAGAGGAGAGTATGATGGGGGGAGATAATGAGGACGATTCTCAATCTGATGACGTTACATGGGAGATTACACACTTGGAGTTCACTGATAGGCAGCAACGGACGGTTTCGGTGAAAAATAGAAGAATATGGAAGGAGGACTCTGTTACGTAGTTTATATAGATTTTTGGTGATTTCTTTGCAAAATTATGCTTTTTAAAACCATGTCCACATTGTTTAGAAAAATGATCGTTTATTGTAGAATATTATTCATGGTGGCCATTTTGGCGGCTGTTGTGAAGAGGCAAATAAGACAAGGACTAGGAACTTCCTACCTGCCTAGTGGTTTAACTGGCCTGGTTTTCCCAGATAAAAGTCAGTTTCCCAACAATCCTAGGCAGCTCATATTTCCACACCTAACTATTTCCCCCCCTATCTAGGATATTTGCATTCTTCCTTAGGTGAGGGTGAATATTTATAAAACACAGAGGACAGTGTCAACCGCACGGTAACTGTCCAACAGGAGAGACAAATAAATGCAAAAGTTCATGAATTAAAAAGTGAAAAATTGCCACAGCGATTTCGAGAAAAAAAGGGCCTAAGGTTGACATTATCAGTAGCTCACACAGAAGGCGATTTTAGGATTTGCACCAAGAGAATGAGCTATTACACAGGTGGAGAGAAGTCAATAATTAAAAACACAAATCTGTTTCGCACAAATTGTCATTCATGCTGATGGTAGAAAATATATTTGAAAAATATAGATTGAAACAAAATTCCACTTTCCAGAGCCATCATCTTAATATTTTGTTGTTCATTTTGCCCAAATTTTCCCTCTGTGAGATATATATCATATATATTAAGTATATGATATATTTGTGTGTTCAATATATAACTCCATGTGATATATGATAACTATATAACATATACATTAAAATATACATGTCTATTCAATTATGCTTAAAAATAACATGTATATAAGCATATTTAACATATTTTTTAGCATCTGTTTTTTTTCTCGTCGATGAAGCAAATTCCTGCAAAGCGGTTTAAATTATCGCTACACCGGTTACCCTGGGGCAGCCCTTGAGCTGTGTGTTTGTTCTGTATGTGTCACTTGGCTTTGCCCTTACAACTCCGAGGAGCCAATATCGTTGTGTTTACTTTATGGAGGTGAAGCTGAGGATCATGCGAAGGAACTTATCAAGGCCACACAGCTGGTGTCTGACCTGGAATTTGAATCCACTGTGCTCTGAATTACTGGGCTTTCATGCTAGACATTTCCATGGGCTAGGATAATAATTCATTATATTTATAGTATTAAGGGCAAATTCCATCAAAAGTGTATAAACCAGGCACCACGAGCTACAGAGCGCATTCAACACATCCTCTGTATAGATTTTGGCAGGTTCACCTCACTGGCTGACATTTCTTCAGCATGAAAATAAAAACATCTTGGGTTTGTGTTCTCTTCTGCTTCAAACCAATTGCAGGGCTGATATTAGGTATCATGCCTCCTTCAGTTTCCCTTCTATTCACATGTGAATATAAGAGGATCGGGCCAGAAACTGTTTATTAATATACAAGGTACTGAGCATGCTTGAGAAGGCTTGTCCGGGGCTGAGGTCACAAACGGAGTGAGGTCTATCCCTTTCCTTAAGCAGAGCCCCATGCAAAGCAAACACTGTTGGGCTTCAGGCTGTGGTGTGCTTTGGAAGCAGAGGCGTGAGCCACTGTTGATGGAACCGGAGGGGGGAGGGCTTCCTCCTGGCACTTCCTGTTCCGAAATGCTGAGATGACAATCCTACTTGAACACGTCATCAGAGGAAATTGCACTGGCAAATACGTTAGTTATTTGACATATTATGGGGTGAGCAACAGAAAAGCTTTCTGTATGTTCTCAATTAGCTTATTATAAAATAAAAAATCAACTGGGCCTGGAAGAATTTTAAAAAGACCATCATTTCTCCTTCATTCCAGTGTGAAAAAAAAAAGCCCACTATTCTAAGATTTGAGTTTAACTTCAGATGAAGCATGGATATTTATGGTTTTCTTTGTTGGTGATCCTGGAAAAATCTTCAGAGAAATTGTTGGGAATGAAAACCTATCTTTCAAATTTCTTGGTAAAATGCAGGTAAAAAGAGTTCAATCATACTTTGTTATGGTAAGTTAAAATGTATATAAAATATCCTTAGCCAATAATCTTATTTTATGTACATGCTGCTTTATGTAATAAATTCAAAGATTATTGTTTTTAATGAAGAAAAATCATAAGCCCTTCTTAGTGGCGTTAGAATAGAAACCTGTGTCCTGGATAACTAAATATTTCTGACTATTCATATCTTATGGACTGCATATCCATACCCTCCAACTTTCCAACTATAAAGCTCAGAACACTTTGGTAAATAGGGTAGCTGAGGCCTCATTCATGTACTTAATTTGGAATCAACTATAAAATACAATGATCACGTACAGAATGAAGAGCCAAGAGAGTTCATATGCAGTTTCAATCCAAAGAGGCATGTTCAGAAGGAAGGAGAGGGAAACTGGCAGGGTGGCAGACTTAATTAACGTTTTATTTTTTGTGTGTGTGATTTTATTTTCTGAGGATGCTCAAAGTCCCCAGTAGTGGCCTTCCCTCGTCTGCTAAGGAAGTAAGATGGTAGCTGGATGCTGATCGCTTAGATCTTGTTTTAGGGCTCGTCCCCTCCACACCCTTTGTAGGGACTCTTGCTGGTCTGCTTGTGGGACAGAGTCCAGTTAGAATCTTCTTACGGATTTGCAGTTTAGCAAAGTCTAGGGAAGGCGGTTGTGCTATTGCCTGTTCAAAACGTCTGGTAGCACCTCCGTCACCAGGTCCAGATCGCTAGAAGCCCGGACGACAGAGTCAGCGCTAATTGAGGCAAAGGAGACATAACTTGCAACTGTTCTAAAATTCAGGAGAAAAGTGACAAAATCATGAATTCAGATTTCTAATTTAGACATCACGGGGGTACCGTTGAGAACTGAAGCTGTGCTGGTCCACAGCTCGCTCATGAATTAGATTCCGTCCTGAGCTGCGGAGTCCTTCACGGCAGTCTGTGTCTGGTGCCCAGCTCTATTCCAGGATCTTCAAAAACGTTGGGCTTCCTCCAGAGGTTCTGATTGGTGGATGCGGAGAATGTGTATCCCATCCAGCTCCAGCGCAGCAGGTGCTACGTACAGAGATAAGGGATGTGTTTACCTCTTTTGGTAATTATTTGCTAAAACATTCGTCTAGGTGCTCTTTTAATTTGTTACATTTTCTTAGAGCTCTGCATTTGGAGATTGGCTCCAAAGTTAAGCAAAGAAGATGATAACCCGTCTGCTAGGCCACCCCCTGGTTTTATTGCCGAGTCTGCCACTCAGTTTTCACCAGCTGGGTCACCTTGGCTCAGGGGAGACTTTCTTAGCTAATGCTAGTCGGGATACTGTTGTTTCCGAACAATTAAAACACAATCCATATCTCCTCTAATCGACAAAACCCAATGATTACAATGAAAGTGCTTCCAATATTTTAAAACCAGAGCGGCTGGGAGCTGCCGGGTACCAGAAAGCCAATGAGAGACAGGCCCCGGCCTTAAACAGCAGACCGGAAGGAGGCGAGACAGGTGAAAAGCGTTCTTATTACATGGCAATCCATCATTTTAAGGAGAGAAGAGCCCCGAAGAACAATGGAGCTATGCAGATGCTGCGAGTTTGGCTGAAGGAACAAATGCGACCCCACAATGGTGCTGTCACTTGACAGTGTCTATTTATCGAACACAGCGTAGAGCCCTGTGCTAGGCTTTCCGCCAGGGCTTGAATTACAGGCGCGCACGTTTGCAAACCCTCCTTTTTCTGTAACTGGGAAAGGAGAAAAACAGATAAAGGCTGTTTGCTTTTTCCCTCTCCTTCAAGTTCATGCTGGGGCTAATTACACAATCTCCTGAAAGATCCCCAGTCCTTCTGGATACTGTTATCTTTTTTGAAGAAGGGGGCTCTTTCCCGATGAGCACACAGTATCCCAGAGTACAGTAAAACAGGATGGGATAATAAGAAAGCAAAGCCTTGCTTATACCAAGACAAATGTTCTAAGTTTCCTCAGATGTACAGCATCTCCTGGCCTCCTCCTTCCCATTCTCTTCCCGACCTTGACCCCGCCGACACCATCTTGTTTAGAATAGCCAGCATCCCCCACCTCAGGACTTAATTTCCTTCACTTCACAGAAGCACTGAGCGATAAAGAGTCTGGAAGACGGGATCCGTTTCAGTGTGGATCCCGGCTGGGCTTTGCAAACCCAGACTGGGTAACTTCCTACTTGCCCCACCCCTTCCATCATTAACCAGAGGGTCTTTTGGGGTCACTAGTTTCTCTGTGGGGGTGTGGAACGACCCTTCAGAGTGCTGTGATGTGCCCGTTTCCACTGTAATTCAAGTAAGACCTGACTTGAGGTCAAGAGGTTGGGTTTTAGTGAAGAAAAAGGCAGTCACAGAGACCTTCAGGGAAGAGAGGGCCTGCATCCCCAATCACAGGAGAAAAATGGGAGAAGCCTTCATCCTCCATCCTCAACAGCTCTCCTCCTGGTACTCCCACCTTTTGGTGTACTTTGGATGCTACTCCCATCCCTAGGGCAGCGTCTACCTGTGCTGTTGCTCTGTAAGGTGCTGTGTTGTGCGTCCTTTCCAAACTCCTGGGCTGAAGCCCCTCCTAGCTTCAGATTGTGTATGTGGGTACAGGTGATGGAGCGAAAATAAGGCTTTTAGTCCAACCCAACACACACACACACACACACACACACACCCGTGCGCGCGCACACACAGAGCAAGCCTATGTGTGTTGATGTACATGTGTACACATGTGAATGCACATGTATGGCTTACTGAGAACTGAGGTTGACATTGGGTGCCTTCCTCCAGCACTCTCTACTTTATTGATTGAAGAAGGGCGTCCTACTGAATCTAGAACTCACCATCCAACTAGCCAGCTTGTCTTGGGGATACCCTGTCTCTGCCTCCTGAGTTTTGGGGTTAGAGGAAGCCACCACATCTGCCTGGTTTTTATGTGGGTTCTGGAGATCGGAACTCTGGTCCTCACGCTTGATGCCAAGTGCTTATCCCCCAGTCAACTCCTGGCACCCCTAAAACAATTTGACTGATGTTTTTATAAAAATAGAAGGTTTGGACAGACATGGAGTCACCAGAGGGGAGAGTCACCCATGAGCTGAGAAGAGGAGACTTCTGGGAAACCAGCACCTTGATCTTGGACCTCCAGCCTCTAGCACCGTTTTCTAAACTGCTCGGTGTATGATATTTGGTTATGGCAGCCAGCGATAATGATGCACATTCTGGATCTGGAGAGAAAAGGACCAAGTTTTTGTTGGGTCTAATTCAGGTGTACAGAGCCTCTGTTTCCTAAAAGTCCACAGTGGGCTGGATACCATGGCAGGCAAGTTCACTGCTTTTTCTGGCCTAAGTGTAGTGCTGTCTTCTGACTTATTTAAGAAAATAATATAATGTAAAGAAATTTTATAGGAAATTTTACATAATTTTCTTTATCCTATACTTTGTTATATTGTAGTGCATTTAAAGATAGTATTAATGGGGGCAGGAGAGATGGCTCAATAATTAAGAGAACTAGCTGTTGTCCCCAGTACCCACAACTGTCTGTAACTCCAGCTCCATTGATCCCACAACCTCTTCTGTTCTTCATGGGTCTTAGGAACATGCATGCCACATATATACACATGCAGGGGAAACCCCCACACACAAGGAGCACATATAAGAAAGGATGATATTAATGTAAAGGCTCTAACAATTGAATTTACCCAAATCCTTAAACCTACTCACATCTTTAATAGTGGTTGTTACACAGGGCCAGATGAATTTTCCAGCATAATTTTTTTAGGGGAAAAAAAGACTAGGAAACATAAATGAGAATTAATTCCTATAAATTACTTGGAAAGGGGAAAAAGCCAAATGGAAATGACAAATAGTATTGACCCATGAATTTATAGCTAGGCAATAATTTGATACCTGGCTTATTTCTTAAGGACTTGGCACATTTCTTTTCTTTTTCCCCATATTACGTTTCTGTAACCAAACAGCAAGCCCCACATGTATCTCTGTTGCCTAATTAAAAACTTTTTATGTGTAGCAATTTGCTACCATTTTGCATTATCACCCCAGCTCATTTCTCATGGAAAAAAATTAGCACCGGTTTAAAAAGGATATTTCTTTAATCACTGCTCTGATTGTCAGCAGCGCCATTTTGGAGATGGTTCTGAGCGGACTAACAAATCTTTTATTTTATCGGCTGTCTCATTTTGCTCTCTTGCATATTTCACATTTATGGTCTATTCAGACATTCTCCTGTTTTGTTAAGTAGGAGTCTGTGTGGTCTTTGATGTAAGACATAATTTATTTGACAAGGAAATATGAGTCTGTGCCCTGAATCCACATTTAACTGATGGGTTGAGAAATTGTAAAATTGCAACAAGATAGACTCTCCCACAAATTGCATACCACTTGCATTTTGCTAATCTATTTGGCAGCAAATTTGCATATCCCTGTTTATCTATGAATATGTGGAGATTCATGCAACCATGCAACTGTAGCCATGCACAGTGTTTTTTTTTTATTTGTAGAAAAAAGAAGTTTGTCATACATGTCATTGATGGTTTCTATGGACAAATCTTGTAGACTTTATTCCTGAATTAAAGTCACAATATTTATTTTATCTTTATAAAGATAGTTATAGCTTTATAAAGTGACTCATGATGCCTTCATGTGTGTGTTGCTTTCTCTCCATCTAGCAAATGCAGGCCCTGTTAGCATTTCAAGATTTATATATTTTACACATGCTCCCAAGTCTATATTCTGGTAATTGGAAACTTACTCGAAGCACATTCCCTCTGCTCACACTGCTTGTCAATTAACCTTTGCAAAATGAAAGTTTTAAAAAATACGACTTTCATATTTCAAAAGCAGGTTCATTTTCCATCATCACAGAATGCAGAAATTGAGTAAGTAATGCTCTGGGGCTGCAATGCATCTTACACAGCATTTAAGGCTTGAAGCGTCTTTGATGTTCACGCGTGATGACCATTTGAATGCAATGAAGGGGATTAAAGTGCTTGGAATGACTTGTGTTTTGTTTATAGGTGTGAACAAAAAAACTAAACATTTTCGTGGCTCTTCCATTCCATGTACCCTTCCCATCAATGCCTTTGATATGTTTGTAACAAACTGGAGCATACTAAGTAACTGGGAAGGAGAATGGGTCGTTCTGTGACGTTTGGAATCTACATTTGGTGGAGGAGCTGGGATGACCGCAAAGCCCGGACTGTTAACTATACGTGAGGTCAGAGCGTCAACAACTTCCAAGAATACTAGGAGTGAACACCAGGAAAAAGCTAAATGCTAAATGTCAAAAGGCACAGAGAAATGTCTTTACTGGAAATAGCCTGACGTCTTTGGAGAGGCTGTGGTTCCCGGTACAGCAGTCGAGCAGAGGGGAAGAAACTCAGCGTTCTCTCCAGACGTGTTGTGTTTGTGCCTGTGAGCTGAAGGCTGTTTTTCTTCCTATTCTGATGTCGAGGAGCAAATTCCAGGACGGACATCACAAACACAAAATTCATCGTTGAGAAGGAGAATGACAAAACCCCGCGCTTAGTGTGTGTGAGAAGCTCTTCATATAAGCTTGTATGCCATTATGTCTCTGCCCTGTGTGAAGTCGGATTCCCCTGCAGACGAAGATCTCAAACATGGAATGTCCTCTTACAAAACCTTTTATTACTTGAGCACAATTTAATAACAAACTTACCCCTTGGGAAGCCTTCCAAACCTTGTCAATATTTTTGTCTTGGAGCCAAAATGTACTTCTCTACCCCAAATGACAGAAATTATATATAACACAGACATGTAGTCTCCCTGTCCTTGTCACCTTCCTTTTACAGACTCTCAGCCATCATTGCATGTTGGTGGAATGGAAATCCAGGATCAGTTTTTACCGTAACTATAGGAAACAATGCACATTTTTTGAAGTATACAGAATTATATATGACTCCAGGCATACCTGTTTACTGAGTTGTTGACTTGAATAGGCCCAGTTCCTTTCATTAAGTCTTAATTTTCCCATCTGCAAAACCCTTCTGCAGAATTATGCAAGTAGAAATAAAATTAAATAAAATAAAAAAATTGGTACTAAGTAGATGCCCAATAAATGCTGTTTTTCTTTAAAGCAGAAGTGTAGTTGAGGCCATAGACACTGAGACCGGACAGGCTGGATTCACAGTTCAACTTAGGCAGCATTGTGACATGGGGACTACCTTTTCTCCTTAGGGTGATAATAAAAGTTAGTTCCTATGGGGTATATGCCGTTTAAATGAGTTAATATCTGTATGGAATTTGAAATAGTTGCTGGCATCTGTTATGCATTATACTTAAGTATAAGGAGCTGTCATTTCCCCGAGATATGACCCTGATCCCAGGGGTGTACTCATTGTTTTCCAAGAACTTGAAGAAAGTGGAAAGGGAGCCTCTTGGTGAAATATAGCCCATTCCTTAGCCAATTCCCCAAGCCATGTTTTGATGGTAACACATTAACTTTCCTTGAGAGGAGGAAAACACGTGAGCTACAATTCTATCTGCTTTGGGCTATGAATTTGAGAGATGGCTGCACAGGAGAGAGAAAGGAATATCTTTTCTTCACTCACCGCCCAGTTCACAGCCTTGGCCTGTGTAACGAAGGATGGATTAACAGGAAGGAAGCACATAAATTTATTCAATACAAGTTTTATATGATCCAAGAGCCCTTGGAAACAAAACAAAACAAAGAAATAGGGAAACCTCTACATTTTAAGGCTAAATTCCATAATGAAGGGGATAACCGTGCAGAAGTATTGGACGAAGAGGTAGGACCTCGTGATGATACACTGGAGGACTTAGTAAGACCTCGTGACAGTATCCTGGAGGACTTAGAAAGACCTCTTTCAGATTGTTTTTTGTCCCTGTGTCTTCACAGACAGACTTCCTTACTCCAGGTACAGAATCTATGAAACGAAGGTCATGGGAACCACTTCTGGAAGTCTGGGAACACTTTGGGTCCTGCTTCTGAGAGAGGGGCAGAAGGACCTGCTTCAGCTTCTCTCTCAAATGTCAGGATCCGTGTGCTGGAGTTATGTGCCCTGAGCCCCATCAGTAGCCTTTGCTGCAACCCCAGAAGGGCCGGCCGACTGCCACTCACACTAGAAAGTCAATGCGCATTAAAGGAAAGCCTCAGAAAGAATCTCTAAATACTCCATTCTTCACCTACCATCACTCTAAAAATACTAACGAAGAACTTTCCAGTTATTTCAGTACTGTAGGAAGTAATACGAGGTGTGGGTACTTCGTTCCTGTGGGCTGGAAAGGAGGGCGGCAGAGGGGGTGGAAGGGCAGATGAGAAAGAAATTCGAGATTCGGTTTCTTCTTCTGCAAATCAAAAAGCGACCATTTCAAAGCGTAACAGTGAGGTATGCATTCAGCCTGAAGGGACTGAGAGGTCTGGGAGGGATTTGTCAGCCAACTTCTGGGACAAGCTGTGTGAGTTGCTCAGACCCTTATCAGCACAAATCAAAGGTAAGGCAACAAGAAGGTAAACAGCACACAGCTTGGGAGTGACAAGAAGTTATTCTCATCATAACTCGCCGGAGCATCATCAGTGTGATCAAAGTAATTGATTTTTCCTTCGTCATTTCATCTTTTTATCCTTCTCCAATAACCTCTTGCAATCTTTGCTTCTTGCTGTAACTAGAGGCAGTCTTAACTTCCTGAAGCCAGCACCCCTTTCCTTTGCTTTAACTTCAGAGCTGGTTTTGGCCCATGATGAATTGCTGAATGGTTGATAACTTCACGCTCGTTTTTGCTAACCTTTCTTGACAGCTCCTGGATTGCTCTACCTGGTAATTTGCTCTGTAATAATCGCGACTGTGAGCCGGGTCCTTGTTCTTATTCTTAGCAAGGATTCTTCACACCCTCTGTAGGCGAGAGCGTGTAATTACAGATACCAAGTGTTCCCCAGGGGACGGCCTCTCGCAGATGCCGCCAGTTTTTCTAACGCAACTGTTAAATGTAATGAAAACAAAGAATCTGATACTCCAAACATGCAGTTCAAATAAAATTTTAATTAAAAGTTATGAAGGCATTTCATTGATTAACAATCTTAGTAATTAAAGAGTGTGGTTGGCAGTTTTTTTTCCTCTTCTGTTTGGATTTGTTCTTCCTTTGAGATCTCTAATTGTTGTATGGCTTTACATTTATTGATAACTCTGTTTGATGAATGCAGATGCCACCTTTTACGGCCATCGTTGACAGAGTAATCATATTGTGAGAAACACCAGGCTTATGTGGTAACAGCTGCTGCCGTTATCCGCGCTGACATCCACTGGGGAAACGTGTTTGCTGCTATCATGGGCACATGGTAAATGAAAGGTGCAGTAAAGCACAAGCTAACATTTTGAATATCCTTACCACGGTTGGAACTTTATTGCGTATAACAAGCCCTTTGATCTCTGTCCAGTACTTAAGTCTTAATTATCAGACTAATTGCACAGACTATGTTCATTTTCACTGGTAATCCTTTTGTGATTAGCTTCTGTGTTCAATAACTGACTTATCCTTTAATTAAAAGGACTATTAACCTTAAGGCTGCTGCCGTGTCTTGGGATTAGCCCATCTAGAGTTAACGTTTAATATCATTGTAAAAGCTTTTGCTGAAAGGTGTATCATAAAAATGCGGGGAGGGAAACCCTTGAAAGGTGTCTTACTTTCCGGATGTGCACAAAAAAAAAAAAAAAAAAGGCTCTGCTAAAGGTGAGGTTTTAGCAAAGCTTCCTTGTAGGTTAAATTCACTAGGGTCTCTTAGCTGTACAACCTCCAGATTAACCCTCTGAACTCTGCACTCATGTCCAGGAAAAGAGTGCTTACTTAGGATAAAGCAGACTTCCCCCCCTGATTTTAAAATCATTACATGTGCACGTGATCAGGATGCTTAGCTGCAAGGAGTCCAGGATAGAGCATTTCTTCTTCGCGTTTTCTATCGTTATAGCTGAAAGTGTCTTTAGATTGATTCCTTTGGAATGCTTCGCAGAAGTTCGGAAACAGACACCACAGTGGTAACTTCACGTATGTCGCAAGCTGTGTGTCGTCTGAGCGGACACAATTTAGTTTGCAGGTAACTGGCGAAGCCACGGAAGTGCAGATTGGGGAGGATCAGTACCACAGCACAGAGAGCATGCCAAAGAGCCAGATGCAGCTGCTGGAAGCGCTCGTCCCTTTTCCACGTCGGCATCTGGGCTCTGCAATGAACATTTTCCCCAGTGTGTACCATGTGCCGCGTCTTTCGCTGTACCCAGTCGCGGAGGACGTGGAAGAGAAATGGCTCCTCCTGTTCTCTCCTGGCTTACCCAGAGGTAGAAACCTTAAACTGATTTCTCACCCGTGGTGGTCTTCTAATGTTAAATACAGGCTGCTGGGGCTGAGGGAGCCTCAGAAATGCCTCCCGTCTAAGGCGGTGGGGCCAGCTGGTGTCCCCAGAAATGCTGCATCCCCCAGTTTTGCTTTCGTTAGTGATGTGAGAATAGCACCCCGGTAGTTTTCCTGTAGTTGGACATGTTCTTCAGGAATTTGACACTAATATGAGGTGGTTAGCCTGGAGTGAAGGGCTGTGAGAATCACTCTTAGACTTGCTAGTTGAATGCTTTTTTTTTTTTTTGGACACACAGCACTCCTTGCTGGTGGTAGTGGTGTAACAAAGAGCCAAATGCCCACTGGGAATGTTATATAGCAGTTAGAATTCACTGTTAGAGCAGAATATCAGCTCTAGAGAGAGATTAGGTCAACACTGCCTCACTGGTTACAGCTGGATGGCCCTGGATAAGTTACTACCCTTTCTGAATTTTGAATCCGTCCCCTTTAAAATTGGGATAATCCAAGTGTTGTCATGAGGTGGCACATGGGAAGGAGCCTAGTGTCTAAATGGCAACAGCATCCAAGTTTGAGGCTCTATGTCTTCAGAGACAGGAAGTGAACAAATTATGTGATTATTAGGTATTGTGAGTCTGATGAGAACACCCCCTTACATCCTGCTTATGGATGCTCTGTTGGTCAGCACAGGAACGTTATGAAATAGGCTAGCTGGCCCACAAGGAGACCGATCCGGTAGATACGAGGCTTGCTCAAGCTGGCATGCCATGAATGGTGTTCTTAAAACCCAAGCTCAATTCTTCAGGCTCTCTCTGCTGCTAGCAACTCCAGCCCAGTAGAAAAGGGAGCGTGGATCAATGGGGAGGTTTCCTTCCAGATTCTCCCACGAGCCACTTTTCCCCAAATGCTTTCCATTTTCCCTCCTAAAGAGAGTGGTTAAAGTACAGGCATTAGTTATATTTATTATACATAGAATCCAGGATAATTTCTTCTCATCAAGGGATGCATTTATACCTCTAAATTAGAAAACACACCTTGGTATCAATATGTGTTTTGAAATATACTTCGAAAGAGCTTATAAAGTTGAATCTGTGTTTGGGAGAAAAATCCTAATTATGCGTTTAATTTCTATGAAACTGTACACTAGCTATATAAGGTCGTCTATGCCATTTATGGCTTATCAAAGCTCAGAATAGCCTTGTAGGGAAGCGACAAGTGGCAGAGCACACAACCATTTGCAGCATTATGCAATTGTGAGCCGTGGAATGTTAAAACAGAGCCAGGGTGCTGGAATCGACACTCTACCATTCAGGAGCAAATTGCAAAGCAGGGTTCTCAAATTGGTCAGCACGTTATCCATAAGAAATTGGACCAGCCATCCCTGGGCAGAACTGCATGTGTCTAGGGCAACTCCTAGCAATTTCTTGGTGCTAATAATTTTGGTGTCAGGAATAGGAAGGTGTATGGGAAAATGGTTAGTAGTTTCAGGAGAGACTCTACAACTTAAAATTGTGTGTGTGTAGCTAATTTTTGCTTTCTGTATTAAATTTAAATATAGATGCTTTATAAGAGATTTTTAAAAAAAAACAAGTTGTGGTTTTTACAATAAATAACTTAAGTCAAATAGTACAGGATGGCAGACAAGCAACCTCATGAAAGAGCATCCTGAGAAAGGCTGTATTCAAAAGCGCTGTATTTCATGGCACTCAAAGTTTGTGTGGGGTGGGGTGGGATGGGAGATCTCTTTA